CGCTGCCGCAGCCGCCTCCGCCTCTTCCAGTTCCCGGTTCTGTCTCCTCGACGCCCGGATGACGTTCATGGCACACCATCCCACCACTGCGAAGACAAGCAGCAGCCCCAAGAACATCGGCAGGTATTGCTGTGAAGCAGTCGCAGCAGCAGACAAGGGATCACGCAGTGCGGGCCGGAGGAAAGAAAAAGTCAAAATCGGGTCGAGGCATAGTGTTCGTTGTTGTTTCATCGCGGAGTAGAGGGTGTTACATTGAAATCAACACAGGATCTACCGCTGAGGAGTGATTCTTCTACAGGTAGACTAATGCTTCTGCAGAGATGCAGCACTCGGCAGGAAAAGCAGTAGTGCCGAAAATGGCGGCGTTGGAACCATCTCGTCGAGAGATTTCCCAACGGGTATCCTTCGAGTTCGGCACCCTCTTCGTCGTAGAGTAATCGAGCCATGTACAATCGGTCCAGCGGGTGTGATACCTTACGCAAGCTACGTGCAGTAGTTTTCTTGGCGCTGCGGGGAAACAAGGGATAAGCAGCGGTCAGTGAGTGGCTGAGGTGGTGTTATGATTGTCGTCAATAAACGAACATCAGGTGAAAGCAGTGAGAGGGGAAAACATTGTGCGCGTGGCTAGTGTACCATACACAGCAAACACGTGATAAGCTAGCGCAAGCGGCGGAACAGATATCGTCAGCGGCGAAGAGCTGGCAACCCCCCTAGATCGATTTTCAAAGCTCGATTGCTCCACAACCAAGCAGGTGCGGAAAGAGCCCGATACGTCATCTACGGAAAGCCCTCGGCGACATGTTTCCATAACTGCCACTGACTGCTGCTGGTGTCAGCACACAATCGATCTGGTTGTGGAGCAATCGAGCCTTGACAATCGGTCTAAAGGGAGGGCGCCGGCTCTCCACCGCTTGCGGTGTAACTACATGGCGTGAAAAGGACATCGTAACGACGTTCGTTCGAAACTTGAGCATTTATCACCAACCATCGTGTGTACTGTATGTCTTTCCTTGGTTACCGGCAGACTCGGGTTTGTTTCCTGCATGGTACTCTCGTACACACACACGCTACAGCTATGCGACGACAAATCCGCCAGGCGTACACGACATTGCTACTACTGCTGCTGCTGCTGCTCCACACTTGGGAGCCCTTCATCGTACATCCGCATTCCGGAAATTGAAAGTATCTCGGCAACCCACACGCCAACAGCCCGACGTAAACAGCTGCCACCCCGTTGTGGTACACAGAGTTGATCCCTTCTTGGAATTCTCAAAACATCAATAGAGCGGGTGCGTATGTACGCACGGCGTTCGACATCGACTGCTGTGGTCTATCTCGAATGGGTATCTATTAATAGTCTTTCTGTGTATTTCTGTTTCCTTGTACGGCGTATGACCAACGCCTCTCTCCCGATGGTTCGGTGTTCAAGAAGTGTGTAAAACTGGCGCAGCGAGCGCCGCGGGCACAGCGCTGGCTTGCTGACGGTGACAGCAGACCGTGCGGGACAAGCTGTTGTTCAAGTCCCGACGTCCGTCGCGTGGTGACGAGCAACAACACGCAATGCATAGACAGGGTTCGGGGGTGGCTACTTGATTCGGGGGGTTCAACTGCAGAATTAAAAACTGCGTACCATCCGAAACCCCGAGAGGAGGTCATGACTCGCTGCTACCTACACGTATATATATGTGACACCTCCGCCAGAAAGACAGCAGGGTACGCGTGAGAGTACACAGCCAGCAGTTGACCGCATGGCATGCGCTCTACATAGCAGTGCGAGTCAACCAACTCGTGTGTACCATAAATATTCAACGACTGCTAGTCTTACTATCATGGCTAACGACGACGGCACGACGGCACCGGACACAAAAGAGACAGCCAAGTTTTCCATTGTAATGTAGACCTAGACGTTCAATCATTTCTCATGTTCTGGTGTTTCATTTGGTGTACTACGAGAAAAACACGAAACCAACACAAGCTGTGCGAAATAAGCGCTTCAGCAGTCTAGTCTCCGCAATCGCTTGGTTATACATCCTGGCTTGACGGCCTCCTGGGATTCTGCGGTACATTGGTGTACGGTACTCTCTTCCTGGAACGCAAGGCGGGGGTTCGAGCATGATGCTGTTTTGATGGATGACGGCGAAGAAGAGGGCAAGCATTCCCTCTGTCGTTGCTCCGGCTCTTCGTCAAGCAGCGGAGAGGAAAAATGCCGTTTCGGTGCCTGCTGTGGAACGCCGGTGCAGCACGCTGCGCGCAGATTTTTCAACCTTTGTAGCTGTGGCAAAGTGGCGACCTCTTTGGGAAACTCGAAGAGAACAAATCGGCTCACAAAGCTGCTGGGTACTTGCTGTACCACAGAGTGGTGATCCTCCCTTGCGACACGATCAAACCCGCGAAGTCTCAAAACTACCATGTCTCTGTGTGTGCCTCCCTCTGCTCTCTCGCTCGCACGTTGTCTCTCTTTCTCTCTCTCGCTCTCTCTCTCTGCGCGCGTCTCACTGCACCCACTCCGACGCAGTCTAAAGCAAGCGCCAATCAATTACACCTCCGACATCACGGGGTAAATATTTGTGAGCAGGCATGGCAGCACAATAACAAAATTAATCTACAGCAGACCTACACCTGCTGGCTGCCCTCTTTCTCTCACCTCAACGGACTTGGCCATCTCAGAGTGAGCGCTTGGCCCCCCTTCCCCTTCTTCTTCCTCCTCCTCACTGGTGACCCCCGAGTCCTGCGCCATCGCGGCCTTCGGCGCCAGCAGCAGCAGCAGCAGCAGCAGCAGCAGCGGCGGCAATGCGGCGGCGGTACGCTGCTCGCCGCCCGGCCCAGCTGCTCCCCGCATTATGCCGCCGCCTCTGCGTCGAATCACTTCATGTCGAAGGCGAGCTAGTGATTGACTCCGCCTGCCGGTTGGTCGCGGTGCCATGAGTCCCTGATGGTGCACACAATAACCCTGGTTCGTGCCCAACGTTCGCCTTGGCGTCGTGGCTATCTCCCTCCCGCGGACAGGAGACCCACACCAACAGCAAGCAATCGGGAAGCCGCGAGACAGAGAGGTAATATATGATGAGTTAGTTGCTTCTGCGTGTATGTTGTTGAACGGCAAGCAAGCAGCAGACCTCAAAAATGCTGAAAATCACAAGTTGTGTCTTTAGTTCTGGACCCCGAGTTATCAAGTGGTGGGTTGAAAAAAAACAAAGAGCGCGCGCGGCGCGATCGTCCCTGAACCTTGAAGCAACACGGCTCTGCGTGTGCAAACCGGCATGAGAACCTTTTTCCACGGCGGGCGGCGGGCGGAACAGTGAAAAGTCACTCCTGCTGTCTGCAGTCCAGAGTCTGCAGTCTGCAGTAGACCACGGGCACCAGGTCCACAGGTCCCAACGTCCAAGTTGCTCTGTGCGCAGTGCGCAGGTATATGGTGCATAGGTCCGGGTTCCACTTCTCCTCCCTCAACCTCGAATCTCGATGGTCTACGGCGGTGGGCCTTTCCCACACAGCCGCGTTACAACCTTGCCCGAGCTTCGCCTACTGCCGCACATTGACCATANGCCCCTCTCAAATGTAATCCCCATCCAACTCGTCCTGCGTACGTACCCTACAATACCGAGGGCTGCCTTCCAGTGCACCATCTTGGGAAACGCGCAATACCGCGCTACTGCTCGAACTGCATTCGCGATGACCGGCCTTGTTTGAGTGGCGAACCACATCAGGAATCCTACCAACTCGCGAAAAGGGGATCAGCACTCGCTTCATTCACATCAAAGTCGGCGAGCTTTACGCTAACAGGCAGAGGCACCCACTCAACGCCATTCTCTGCAGCCAACTCTTCGGCAAACCTCTGCTGCGAAATCTTCAACAGCCCTCCTCTACGTCTTTCCCGTAAACGCACGCGGAGTACCACCTCAACTCTCCAAGGTTCTTCACGGGGACCATCTCGTTGATATCCTTGCCAAACTTGTCACACCTCTCCTGCCCTACAACAAAAATGTCATCCACGTGGACCACGATGATAATGATCACACGTCCCTCCTCCATCAATCGAAAAACACATGCATCCGCCAGACACTGCAAAAAAACTAAAAGAAACAAACACCTCGTCAGGTGCGCATGCCAATGTCGTGATACCTGCTTCAAACCATACAGGCTCTTGTACAGCTTCACGATCAGGCCAGATAACCTATCACAACCCGGCGGTAAGCGCATGAAAACATCCTCATCAAGCTCAGACTGCACAAAAGCCTGCTGAATATCGAAATGGCACGAGTCAAGATTCTGCTCACATGCTGATGCTGCCAACAAGCGCATGATACGGTGGGTGCAAACAATTCTCCAAAATCAATCGAAGCCCTCTGCATGTCCCCCCGCGCTAAAACTTTGCCTTGAATTTCGTCGGTCATCCGTACTCGACTGCCTTACAGTTAAAGACCCACTTGGCATTGATCGCGTTCTCTACTGGTTGCTACACCGGACTAAAAGTTCCTGCATCCAACAAACCGAAAAACTCTCGACCGATTGCATCATCCTACAACTCTGAATGTTGAGACTGCATGGCCTCCTTCAACGTTTTCGGCACTCGAAGGTCGCTGGCGAGGCAGTGAGGAAGGTCCGGCATCTTGTCAGGAGGACGCTCGGCGCGAAGGGCAGCGTCCACGTCCTCGCGGGTGGCGAACATCCAAGCGAACATGTTCGGCCTCCCCCCCCCCCCCCCCCCCCCCCCCCCCCCCCCCCCCCCCCCCCCCCCCCCCCCCCCCCCCCCCCCCCCCCCCCNCCCCCCCCCCCCCCCCCCCCCGGAATCCATGGGCCCCCCAGCTCCCACGGCCCCCCCGCTCTCACTGCCTCCAAAGCTCGGATCCGGCAGCGGCGGAGGCGGTGGGTCACAGCGTCCTTGGTCGGCGGCCTCCCGGTTAGCCAGCGACGAGATGAGAGAGTCCTTGTCCATCATCGCTAGCAGACCAAGGCGGTGGTGGAGAGCGGCGCCGCCACCGGACGGAGGTTGTCGTTGCTCATACATGAACCGCACTCCATCGCCGCACGTGCGTCCGTGAACCCTCGTGTCCTCTCGTCCCAACTCCTTGACGGCTCGTTTCGAAAGCGGCGGGTGCGGAGGAGCGCGGGCGGCGGCGCTGGCGGGCTGCGGCGGCGGCGGCGGCAGGCCCGGGGTCGAACGGGGCGGCGTGGCTGCGGTCGACGATGGGTCTGATGATGGGGCGTCGGAGATCGGCGACGGGGCTTGGGATCCTGTGAAGATCGGCGGACAAGCGGGCGGTAGCGTTGCGGTGGTCGCTGGAGTAGGCGGGGTGTACGTGTACGTCCTTGATGGCGGGGGCGGCGGCGGTGCGGCATCGGCCGCAGATACGGCGGCGGCCGGCGAGGGCGCCGCGGTGACCGAAGAACCCCCCCCGATACTCGGCACCGGCGCCAGCGCTCCTGCCCGGCGGTTGACCCACACGACGTTGTTGGTGAGGGCGAGGTGACCGGTGTCAGCGCGAAGAACGACTGCGGTAGACGTCGAGTGGTTGTTGCCGCCGTGCAGGTAGAAGCACTGCGCGGATTGGACGTCCGCCTTGGTGGCCCGCTTCACGCGCATCATCCCCTCCTCCGGGAAAAAAGGGACGACGGTGAGGGGCGGCTTCCGGCTGAAGAACGCCTTGAACGGCGACATCCAGCCCAGGTTGGCCTTCGTCGCGGAGCGGTTGAAGCAGGCGGATATCCACAGCGCCGACGCGAGCCACAGGCGATGTCCGTTGACGCCGACGTTGGGGATGGAGAAGAGGTCGACGTGGCCTATGGTGAGGATGTGGCGGCGCGCGGCGTAACCCCCCTTCATGGCGCGCCATATGGCGCTCTCGACCAGCGCGTTTTGCTTGGAGGTGTTGGGCGCGGTGTACTCGCACCGAATGCCAGCAGCGTCGCAGAACGAGGTGAACGCGGAGCGGGTGAACTCGTCGCCGTTGTCCATACGAAAACCCCCCGGAGTGCCGGCGAGGAAGCGCTGCGTGTCTCACGCTAGCGTGATCGATAATTCGTGTGGCTCAGTTCTGTGTGTTGGGAGTGTAGAGCAGCTCGGCCATGACGGGCCGTGGTAGGGTAGGGACGTAGAGGAAAACGTCTTGTATTTATCGGGGGCGTGCTTCAGCTCGTCAATCGGTCACGGCATCAAGTCCCGGTTCACCCTCATCACGCTCAAAGTACCTGACGGATCTNTCTGTGTGTTGGGAGTGTAGAGCAGCTCGGCCATGACGGGCCGTGGTAGGGTAGGGACGTAGAGGAAAACGTCTTGTATTTATCGGGGGCGTGCTTCAGCTCGTCAATCGGTCACGGCATCAAGTCCCGGTTCATGCTCAAAACGCTCAAAGTACCCAACGGATCTCCATGCATCTCCACCATTCCATCACATCCCCAAGAAAAATATGAAGAAACTTCCTGTTCCTCGGCACTCGCCACTGCATTTCAGTACATGTAGAATATACGAAGTAGTAGACTCTAGAACATACGTAAGATGTCACCCATCATGCTATGCTACGAGTATATCGAATAGACCACACACATCTTCTGGTCTCCACACTTTTCTACCTATTTGTCGATCGGTTGCGATCACAGTTTCTTCATATAGTCTATATAGACTATATATATATATGTTTANACCATTCCATCACATCCCCAAGAAAAATATGAAGAAACTTCCTGTTCCTCTGCACTCGTCACTGCAACTTCAGTACATGTGCACGTAATATATCCCCCATCATGCTATGCTACGAGTATACAGCAGTATCTGATAGCCCCCCTGCTCGTATGCATCGCCATACTCCGGCAAAATAATATAAATACAGTCTAGACTAATACCCTCATTCATCTCCAAAACAAGAAAAATTCCTCCAAGACATCACGAGAAAAATCCCAACACAACCAAAAATCCGACCATCTTCACCAGACTCTCTCCTGCTCTTGTCCACTCTCGTCTCTCTCTCGCGTTCTCACTCCATTACAGAATACGAATCGACCCCACAACACTACCTTCACTGCAAGTTCATCACAAAGTCACGGTGCAACGCAATAGACTCGGGGATCCTTGCTAATAGCCTTCGTCAAGAAATCTGCATTCTGGAATTGCGTCGGCAGATACATGAANTCTGCCCGTCTGGCCCCTATCCTCCACTTCTACTAGCTAGACGACCCAACAGGGGTCCCCCCGAAGATGCTGGCGGTCCTTCGCCACTTCC